ATTTTCTTTCAATCTGATTCTTGTCTAGTTGTTCGTACTCTGACTGGTCATAGATCCAATTGTATATCTGTGGATTTCCACCCATTTGGAGAGTTCTTTGCATCTGGCTCTCTTGACACAAATCTCAAGATATGGGATATCAGAAAAAAAGGGTGTATCCACACTTACAAGGGCCATACTCGAGGTGTCAATGCAATTAGATTTACTCCCGATGGCCGATGGGTTGTATCTGGTGGAGAGGACAACATTGTAAAGGTCAGCATTGTTTTCCTATGGTTTATGGTGTTTGTGGTGTTTGCCTGTCTGTTTTAGAGAAGTCTCTTTCCCTTTTATTTTATTCCCCTTTTTTCCTCAGCAAGTTGGCATAGGATTGTGTGTAGGATGAACTGGTGTGGTGGTTAGGTCTTTCAATTTTGTTATTCGCAGTCTGCTGGTCATGGCCAAGCCTCTCACTAGGGAGTTGGGACGTGAATTTGAGACCAATTCAACCATAGAGTGGAGCTATGGGTTTGTCTATGTAAAAGTTAAGGTCTTCAATGTGATGATCCATTGTTACAAACCATGTTGTGTTTGATTTCCTATGTCAGCCACCCATTTCCCTATCATCTATAAACATGTTTGGCTTATTATTACATGGTTGGTAAGAGGTGCATGCATGCAGGTCTGTTTAACTAGAAGTAAGATTTGACAGCTGCAAGGGTGTTTCTTCTGTGCATAGATATATAAAAGCTTAAATGCACATGCTTAGAAAAATTTAAGTATGTAATATTTTTAGTTCTTTTGTTGGTATTGGATGCCTTAATGATCTTTTCCATGTACAATATGTGAGCAGGTATGGGATTTGACTGCTGGAAAGTTGCTGCACGATTTCAAGTGTCATGAGGGCCAGATTCAGTGCATAGATTTTCATCCCCATGAGTTTCTGTTGGCAACAGGTTGGTTATCCAAACAAACTGTTAGATATTATTAACTTTAGAACTCATTCTGCAATTAAATTTTTTATGCATGTTATATCTTTTATATAAATTATTAATAATTTATTCATGTGATGATTTTCTCATAATAGCATTCTAACCATGTGTCAAATTGTTTCATCCTCCGTTGCTCTTGGTTGATTTTCCTTTCAGCTGGCATGTAACATCATCAAATTTACCACAGGAGAAATAAGTTGATGGAATTGTCGTCTTCTGTCTGTGCAAAAAATTCTTCTAGCTTGTAGCTTTGGTTTATCCTTATTCGTTGGCTCCCCTAGGTTTATGTTTGCATGCTAATGAGGCCCCTCAGTTGACATTGATTTCTTCAGCCGAATTTGGCTAGTTTTAAATCTTAAGTACTAAATTTACAGTAAAAAATTTGAGAAAAGTGATTGCCACATAAGATTCACTATATTCAAATTCAAGCAAAGAGTAAGTTGGGCTATTTGAGACTGAGACAGAGAGTTTGAAAGATAGGAGTGTAAGTGTAGTTGTAGTATAAAAAGCATAAAGATTGAAAATCCTAGATCTGATATCTAAAGTCTATACGTGAGAAGAAATGTCAATAGAAGATTTGGAGCTCTGTGTATGCTGCAATACCATCTTTATCTGCTAAGACTTCTTAAAAGTAAATCCACTTAAACTATGAGCTACACGGACTTTAAATATCTGCATCATAATATTGAGGAAAACTGGAAGCTTGCTTTTACTCATGGAGACTGTGTTAGTTTCTTGACTTCTCCAACTTGTGGAGTCATTCTTGCATTCATGCCAGCACCAAGCAGTTTAATTTTCTTCATTCCTAAACCCTAATGCAGTAGAGATTTGATAGGTAAGAATAGTATTTGCTCAAGGCCCAAATTCTTAAGACATTAGTGACTGAATTATGTCCGCTGATATTCTTCACACTTCTGCTGCTTCATTTATTTTCATTACAACCCCATCCACACTGTTCTCTTTTACTGGTTTTGACATTTTTATTTTCTATAGGTTATGCTAGGTTAAGGGGTTTTGATAGGTTTGGGTTTCTTTTGTTGGTGATATTTTGAGCTACTTTTGAAGTAAGAGAGATTCAAAATGCCTCAAGTCTGAATTTTTGTATATATCCCTCTTTGATCTTTGTGCATAGACATTTTCTAACTATCAACAGTTTCCTTACATGAGTGGAGGTTGAAATCACCATCTGGATGAGGTTGCTGTCTCTAAGATCATTTTTATCGCTTATGGTTTTAGCTTTCTTGATTTTTGTTCTTCTCTCTTTATTGTCCTTTTGATTACCCTTTTTATGTAGGTTAAATCCCCAATTTAGTCCCTCAACTATTGTACAGACCCCTGATTTGGTCCCTGAACTAAAAAAATCCTTGATTGGGTCCCTACTGTTTACTAATTTGGCCCCAAGTTGGTCATTTTGTACAAAAGCAGATAATGTGTCTCATTATTAATGTGACACGTGGAGTTAAGTAACAGTTTTTTACTGTTAAGTAATGGACACATCAGCTATTTTTTAACAGAGGGACCAACTTAGGGCCAAATTGGTAAACAGTAGGGACCAAATTCAGGGTTCGTACAACAGTTGAGGGACTAAATTGGGGATTTTTTTAGTTTAGGGACCAAAGCAGGGGTCTGTACAATTGTTGAGGGACCAAATTGGGGGTATAACCTTTTATTTATATTTGCATGTATTTGCAATGGTTTGTAATTTGTAATTCATATTTTTCAAGAACAATCAATTTATATTTATGATCTTTGACACTACATATTCAGCCTTTTTATTATTATTTAAGCTTTTCTAACAAGTTACCATAGGCCATATTACACCCTTTTATTAGAATTTTAGAGAATTCTTTTTGTTTTCTGAATTTTCTCAAATGACTTAAATGTATCTTGTGTGGAAAGGCCTTCATAGATCTTGTGTCTAAACTACGATGTGATATTGAGGTAGAAATTTTCTCTCCACCTGCTTTCTCTGCCAGCATGACCTTGTGGAATTCTTATCCCAGGATGTGTTGCATTGTGTTGGGCTAATATTTCTCATGTGTTTTAGGTAGTCTCTTATTTTTAATAAACTTCATTTTGGCTTTTACACAGGTTCAGCTGATCGCACTGTTAAATTTTGGGACCTTGAAACATTTGAGTTAATTGGTTCTGCTGGGCCTGAGGTATTTTATCATGCCTTATGGTACTACTGTACTGCTATTTTCTTGATGGAGTTAGTGATCCATATTGGGATTGTAATACCTTTTATGATGCTTCTTTTATGTGCAAAGCTTTATGTGAATTTTTTCTTTTTCTATTGTAGACCACTGGAGTGCGTTGTTTGACCTTTAATCCTGATGGAAGGACTTTGCTTTGTGGATTGCATGAAAGCCTGAAGGTGAGTTCTTTTTGTAGTCTTATTTGTTTATGAGCATATAAGCTCCATGCTTTCCCTCAGCCTGTACTCTACTTTTCTTTGTTCAGCAAAATAAATAAATAAATAAAGGAAAAAAAATAGGTACTTCAATTTCCTTGGTAACTTTGTAGGTTTTCTCATGGGAGCCAATACAATGCCATGATGCTGTTGATGTTGGATGGTCAAGATTGTCTGATCTTAATGTTCATGAGGGAAAGCTTCTTGGTTGCTCATATAATCAAAGCTGTGTGGGAGTATGGGTTGCAGACATCTTGGTATTGCTCGGTGTTCCTCATTTCCACTTGTTAATTGGTCTTCTTTATTTTCTGGTGCTTATCATGTTGTGAATTTTAGCTCACATCTTGTATATATATATATATATATTTCTTTACAGCGCATAGATCCATATACAGTTGGTAAAGTTACCCGTTTGAATGGGCACTCAGAACCTAAATCAGCCCCAAGTGGAAACCTCACCGTATTGAATGAGAACACAGCAAAAGCTAGTTCAGGAAGAGTGTCTGTTTCACAAAACTCAGATCCTTTAATGAAGGAGACAAAATCTCTTGGAAGGTTATCCATTTCACAAAATTCAGATCCTGCTAAGGAGCCAAAAGGTTAGGCATGTTCTAAAAATTATTTAATTTTTATTTTTATAAAGTTTCACTTTTGTTCTTGGCTTTTTATTATTTTCATTTTTTAATTTATTCATCGCTGGCCTTCTTTTGTTTCACATCTGTGGTGGAATTTAATAGTTATCTGTCCATTGGTTCAAGAGAATGTGGTCTTTGATTAATAGAATGGAGAAAAAGGATTCACATAGATTGTGGTGTAATTGACCATAGATGTTAGGCTAGACATAAATAAGACCTATTAACTAATGCTTTAGATCTGATGCTTAGCTCTTGCAAGATATAAATAAGCTATAGATTGAAGTACCCCTCAGAGATGTTATGGAATAGTGGGAACTACTAATTTGTGGAAAGCTAATTTTGTGAGGTCTACTACTGTTTCTGTGTCATCTTATACCAGTTAATAAACATTGTTTGAAGCCACAGGAAATGTACCTGGAACTCCTCAGAAAGTCAATTTGAATACAGCTCCAAAGACAATGGTGCCTGGTTCAACAGTAATTTCTAATACAACAGCCTCAAAAAGGAACTCTTCAAGGGCTAACTCAGCTGTCAATGTGCCTATTTTTAACAAGGCAGATGTCATACCTGTGATTGTGCCTAGAACAGATACAAGGCTGGAGCAGGCAGCTGAATCCAGAAGGGAAGTTGGAATTGTGGGGGTATCACTGGAGCAGGCAGCTGAATCCAGAAAAGACACTGGGATTGTGGGAAGAACTTTGGAGCTGGCATCTGAATCCAGAAAAGAACTCAGTATTGTTGGAAGAACAATGCCATTCTCTCTGCAGTCAAAGGCATCTAACTTCCGAAAGTTTACAAATAGCAGGGAAGACATGGACCAGCCAACTGTATCTGTTCCCTTGGAGACCACAGGTGCTAAGGCTACTGAATTGAGCAGTGCTCCAGATAGGAGTAGATTTCCTGCAGTTAAAAGCACAATTCAAGGGACATCTGATGCTGAAAGGGGCATGGTAGATGATAAGTGTATTGGCTCTGGCAAGAATGAAGTGAACTCAGTGATGGATTTTCCTGCAGGCTACAGGGATGAAAGTTGTATGTTTCCCAAACTTTACATACAATTTTTGCCTTTGACCATGGTTTTCATTTTCAGCTGCTTGTTCTTCCAGACTTATTCAATCAGCTACAAAAAGTTTCAACCTTTGGCAATTAAAATAGCTTACGGCTTAGATGTTTTTCTCATGTTCTATTATGACACTGTCTGATAACGGCAAGGAGGTCTGAAAAACTTTACCACTTGTATTACTGAGATATTATTATGGGAGGGTTTCTTGCCAAAAAAATGTGGGAGGGTTGCATGGCTGAAAGAGATCAAGAAAGGGAACCATCTAAAGAAATCATTTTGAATTCAGATGGCAATATCTGCTAGTTGTTAACCTAGGCAAATTATATTCTGCTATTAGAAGAAGAAAGAAGTATGGATCAGGATGCCAAAGTTAATTTAATCTCTTTTTTTCTTGTGCATAAATTAAAATGTGGCTTGAAGAAAACTGTTCAACATTAACTGGAGAAAAGGGCAGGGCTTTCTAAAGGGACATAGTAGATCCTTGGGCCTTAGGGAAAGTTGATATGGGATTTCCTTTTTCAAGTATTTGTTCTTGAGCAGATGTAACTCTGTTAATGCAGTGATAGAGAAATAAAATTTATGGAGAAGTATAGGGGATTTTTGAGATGAGGTTGTAACCTTGAGTTAGAGTTAAAAATGAGTATGCAAAATGTGTATGTTATCAGATTAAATGCATGCTTGATTCATGGATCTTCTTCACTAACAAGCTTGGACTGTTTGTTTAATAACAATCTGAATTTTGTGTTTCTTAAGAAGAATTTCTTAATGGATCTTTTAAATACTCACACTGAATCTTCAAAGCTTTTGCTTCAGATGAGACTTGGGGCCATAGAGCAAACAGAGATGTGTATCCAATGGAAAGTCAGAGAGGTATGTTCTTAGTATCTGGTTGATATTTATACATGTCAGCAAAATTGTTACTCATTAACCCCTTAAATATTTAGGAAGACGTTCAGTTACTATAAATTGGGAGAGAAGAGGGAGATCTTCTAATTATGAGGGGTCTACTGCAAGCATCTCCCTTGGGAATGCATCTGGAGTCAACATGCCTCCCTTTAGTGCAGTATGAAGTTTAGTTGTTTATTTGACCTTTTTTTTTTATTAAAAGCAAATAATTCTTATTTCATATTTATGCTAATTTATTCATTTATTATTATTATTTTTTTTGAAGCTTAAACAGAGAGGATATCCTTCATCTACTGAAAAGCAAATGCCTTCAGCTAGTGATGAAGATGCTATTGCAGATTTAATGGAGCAACATGATCAATTTTCTGGTTTTATGCAGTCTCGTCTAGTCAAGTTACAGGTAATCACAAAATGGTGATAATCAATTTTTTCTACCTTTTTAAAATTTCTAATGTTGCTGCTTACTATTCTGCATTTTGTGCATATTTTATGAACTTGAGGCCCAGTGGCGTAGGGAGGTTAATTTAGGTACAATATGTGGTGTTAAATGCCCTCTTGAACACAACAAAGGAGGTCATTGGTGGTTTCTTACTAATATTAAATCTCTCTTTAACAATTGAGTTGTTAACTGATCAATTCTCTTCAAAATCTCACATGATTGCATGCTATTATTCTACATTATTCATTATTGCCTAGAGGAAAATTATGATGATCGCTAGAAGGTCAGTATTTATGACCATTACTATACATTTTTCTCTTTCCACTTACTGATTGTAATTATGCATGTTTTAAGAGTTCAGAACAACATCAATAAAATGTGGAAAAATGTTAAGCTGTGACTAATAAGTATTAATTTATTTATAAATAGATTTAATGGCAACAAAAATCCCTGACCTTACTGGAAAATGAAAACCAACATCCTCAAACTATTATTTTGGCAATTAATATCCCTGAATTTATTTTTGATAAATATGCAAGCATAGTTCTTTGGTTACACTTGGTTCTAGCATGACAACATTAAAAGTTAAATTTCCCTCTTTAAAATATTTATTTTTTGTGTCTTTCATTCACAACAATCCCAAACCCTTTTTCTCCATCCTGCCACTTTGAAGAGAAGAATACTGGTAGCCTGATGTAATCTAATCCTTAATTTCTTCTTTTCTCCCTATATTTGAATCCCTTTTCCACATCTATAATATTTATCTATGTTTCTGGTGTTATCAAGTTTCTAGCTTTCAAGCTCAAATCCATGCCAGGTTTTGGCATTACATCTCTGCCAGATGTCCTCCCCTCCGTATCTCAATTCCTGAACCAACAACTTTGATTTGCCTCATACTCTAAATAAAAATTAGTGCTATGCATCTTCCTTTTTCTATTTCCTTTTAGTTTCTTTAATGATTATCTTCTTCTTGAAGTTTTTTGCTCTTAATTTGTTTTCAATGCCGGTATTGTGTTTTGGCTCAGTTTTGTGATTTCATCTAAGTATTTTCTGCTAATAGAGAAAGGTGCTGAATTGGATCTTTTTGCTGCCGTCACCGGTGCTGGAAATTCTCTTTGAGAAGTGCTAAAAAATAAAAGAAACTGGATTAGGGCCAATCATTGCCTGAGTGCAGCTGACACTTCTCTGATAGATTCATTCTTTTTTTAGTATTTCAGAGTTAAAATGATTTCTTTGTGCTTTGAGTTGTTTGGTTCAGCCATTTGATCTCCTTTTATAAAGAAATTGAGTTGCATATTGTTGATAAGGCTTGCTTAGTTTGGTTTAATCTTCTATTGAAGATCAAAGTTTTTGCTGGTTAGGGGAAGCAGAAGGGGAAATGGGATGGAAAATTTTGAATTAATGAACTGTTTATTAAAATGAAGCTACCATCATAAAGAAGGAAAATTTTAAACATTTATTTGGTGGGAGTTTTACTTGTGGGTTCCTCTAAATACATCTCTAGGCAAAATATAAAGTCTGGTAGTGGGCCCCATGTATAAAATGAATATTTTAGTCAGCAAAGTTGACTTTTAATGTCCTTGCATGGAAGTTATAATGGAAGTAACAGAAGGGCCATGGTTGCCTTTTTTCAAGGACATTGGTTCCCATTTTCATTTAAAATCAGAGATTTCTGTTACATTAATCCTTTATAAATATTCATTTTAAGCCAAAATGTATGAAAAATACTTCACTGCATTAACTTCAATAGATCTAATAATAAAATGCCAAAGAATGAGAGGGAAAAAAGGGAGAATATTTAGAATATAATATCAAATGAGCAGACAAACATCCTTCAAACTGTATGGCCTTTGATTGTGCGGATTTAATAAAATAAAGAAATTGACTTACTGATTTGAAAGTGTATTTAATGATCAAATGAGCAGTCAAAATGATGTGTACGGTGGAGTTGAATAGTTTTGCTAAATCGACTTAAACTGATTTGAAATATTCCAAGTTCAAAGTATTGAATTCTGAAGATGAGAATGCAGGTTTAAAGATATGATAGGGAAAACTCAATGAGAGGCAAATTGTAAATTTTTTGCTCCTATTATGTCCAGGGACTTCTATCCAAAGCAAAAAATGTAATGGATGTGGTGTATTAAAACAGATTTTTATAACATAGTTGACTAATGTAAAAATGTAATTCATGAGAAACTTAGAGGCTTGCCATTTTGAGGACACTACGCAGAGCCTGTAATTCTTGCGGCTTTTGTACTGTATTTTTCATCTTTTGTATTAAAGCTTTGATAAATGTATTTATATAGTTTTGAAAGTCTTTACAAGAAGATTGTTGAACCATGTTAACTACTATTTATAGGCAGTTTATAGATATTGGGAAAGGAATGACATGAAGGGGGCTATTAGTGCAATGGAGAAGATGGCGGATCATGCTGTAAGCATTGTCTTTATTAATATATATTCCTTTATATTTCATTAGTTTTTATGTAAAACCAATATATTGAATAATTTCTGTCTTTTGCTTCCTTTTTGTTGGAAATTGCAGGTCCTTGCTGACATAATAAGTACTGTGACTGAGAAAATGGATATTGTCACATTGGATATTTGTACATGCCTTCTGCCACTTCTGACTGGGCTCCTCGGTAGCAACATGGATAGGTAAGAGGGCTATAATATTTTTAATTCTGACTCTGTTATTGAAGCTACTTAGGTTGGGTTTTGATTTGTATTCATTTCCTGTTAAATGTCATTTATTCTCAATGACTATACTATATGGGCTAACCATTTCAGGCAAAAGGTTTTCTCTTTGATGTTTTACTAGTCAGTACTGAACCTTGTTTTGGTAGTAGGATAGTTTATGTGGCAATCTCTGATGATATTTAAAGCTTCAGGATGATAGTTTCTCTTTTCTCTTTTGTGTGTGAAAAGTGGCATGAGGATTATTCTTTGATTCGTTGGTACTTAAGTGATTTTTGTGCCCAAGACAATACTATATTGATAAAGGAGGAGTATTAACTTGACCTCAACAAAAGGGCTGATGATTGCAGGAAGAGAATCTACTATAATAGTATTTTATCTTTGGTAAAACACAGTGCTTGTTTAGATTTCTTTGAATATAGATGGTGCTAAGTGTTGGATATTGGATTTTCTGGAAATCTTTTACTATTTTTGTGAAATGAATGTGATAAAGGGTGTTATCTCTTAACATCAGGATTAGTGTTCAATGTGGCAGTTGAAAATCTTCTGTCCCTATGTTTTGGGTGTGATTATTTTGACATCCAGTCTCTGTTCACCTGACAGACATTTCTGTTTGATTGCAAATAGCTTTCTTCCACAATCATAATTATTTCTCTGGTTTTTGTATGTCATAACCTGCTCATTTTGACAAAGTATTGCTTCATCTGTTAGTATTTTTTTTGGTGTAATCATATTTATGAAATACCTGGATAAAGTTCATCTATGTCATGGCTGCCCATGTGTAGGCATTTAAGCATCTCTCTGGACATGCTCCTCAAGCTGGTCAGAACATTTGGTTCAATGATATATTCATCATTATCTGCACCAGCATCTGTTGGTGTAGATATTGAGGCAGAGCAAAGGTGTGTTAGTTTGGATTCTACCTGCAAATCTTTCTGGCAAAATTTCACTAACAATTCACTTAACTGGCATTTCATTCGGCGATTATTTGATGTTGTAGGTTGGAGCGCTACAATCTTTGCTTTATAGAACTTGAAAAAGTCAAACAATGCCTGCCTGCTCTTATGAGGTGAATGCTCTGATTATATATACAACTTTGAGTCTTATGCAATTATTCTTTACCAGTTATCTGGAGAAGAGATATATTTTTTCCTTTCTCTTTTTGCTTTTACAGAAGAGGAGGATCAGTTGCGAAATCTGCACAGGAGTTAAATTTAGCACTTCAAGAAGTTTCATGACTGGAATCAAAACTTAGAGAAGGTGTGTAACTTATTGCGTGATTAAGTTCTTAATGTTGCATTCGGAGGTCAATGCTAGGCTTGGCATTTTTCAAGAAACCTATGGGACATGCAACATCCAATACGTTGGTGCCTATTAACTTGTCTGTTCCTGCTGCTACTTTGTATATTACTACTTAATAGTAAGCAGAGGCATTTAACTGCAAGCTGATTATACTAAATTAACCGAACCTGAACCCTATTGAGATTGGGGTGTCTGCTGCCGGTTGCTATTTTTTTTTTCCTTACCATCTTTCAGTTACATGATGAAAGAGTATCTCCCTCATGATACACACTAACCATATATTGCATTATTTGTACCTTTGTGACGATTTTTTTTATTAAATGTAATATATATTTCTTTTTATTATGTTCAAAGATGTAATTTCAAACCTTTATCATGCTAATTCTTTTTTTTTTTTTTTTGCATTGCGCTACCTGTCATGTATTATTATTTTTTTGTTATTTTTCCTAGCGTTGAGTAAATCCAGGTATGGGTCAAGTATTTATTTTTATCTGTACTTGAGTTAAAAATTTATAGGTACAACTTTTATATAATTGGTGCTTGTTTAAGTTTAAAAAATTTATACTCAGCTAATCCGCTGAATAAAGTTATACCTACAGTTGTGTCAAAGATTCATTCTATTCTTACCTGGGCCCTACCTTTTTCCTAAAAAAGAGTAGAAATATAAAGATTTAGATATAAAAAAGTTTACTCATTTGTCACACTTGACTTTATAGGTTGAATGCTGTACATCTTCCAGTCTCATAAGTCGTGTTTAAACTTTTTCTTTTTAACTCAACAATTGTATTTGTTTCCAAAAAAAAAAAAAAATCACTCATTTGAGAAAATTTAAAATTAATAATAAATATGACTTAATTTAAAAAATCATTTATTAACTATTATTTTTTTTTTCATTTTAGTTTAGAATCTTTATTTTCTTTCAAATTCATCTATAACTTTTAAAATTGTTTTATTTTCATCTACCTCATGCAACTCTGTTAACTAAATTGATGGAACTTCCCAATTCTGATTATGTGGCGTCATGAAAGCCACTGTGTGGCTCACCTGAGCTAACATGCGGCCTAAAAAATGGGAGGGAAATATTCTCACTTCTCACTCCCTCATTTAAGCCTAAATGCTTAATTTAAAAAATGGGTAGTAATATAAAGACAATTTTTTATATAGTTTTTTGTATAATTTTTTATATAATTTTTTATGCTATTAAATAAATAAATATACTCAATATCACA